AAGGCGGGCGGGGGGCGGGGGGGGCTGTGCTGGCTGGGACGTGGCCGGGCCTGGCGTGAGGCTTCCCCTTTGGCCACCGGTGACAGGTGTCTCTGCTCCAGCCCACAGCGAGGTGTGCATGTTGGCCGGTGGAGACAGCTTCTCCCCCAAGACCTGCCCCATGTTCTGCTGCGGCACCTGCTACAACCAGTACTGCTGCTCCGACATCCTGAAGTCCGTCTGGAACAAGGAAGGCTGTGCCGACAATCAGGACAGGTGGGTGCGCCAGGGGTCACGGTGGGAGCACCAGGGGGCACGGTGGGGGCGCCAGGGGTCACGGTGGGGGCCCCAGCAGGGCTGAGCAGGGAAGGGAATGGCCTTGCCCCTCCGGCTTCTCAGCCCTTTCAAGATGGTGGAGGACACCCGGCCCGTGTGGCTCAGTGGAACGTGAGCGTCCACCTAGGAACCAGGAGGCCATGGTTCGATTCCTGGTCAGGCACAGGCCCAGGTTGTAGGCTCGATCCTCAGTAGGGGATGTGCAGGAGGCAGCTGATCCATAAAATATATTTTTTTAAAAAGAGGAGAAGCTACTAACCAGCTGAGTGAGGAAAGGCCAATGGGTCCAATAGGGAGGCCCCAGGCGACCTCCACCCGGACAGAGGCTCAGGCTCAGTCTAGGGCAGAGCTCCCCACAGATTTACTGCCCCACCCCCCTTGCCAAAGAAGACAGACAGGGACCAGAGGAAAGAGAAGGGATCCCAGAGTTGGGTCTGGTCTTGCCAGATGTGGGCCAGGTCCTGGCTCTCCAGCAGGAATCCTGGCGGGGGCAGAGGGGCTGCATATTTCCTGTTGCCTAGTTGAGCCTGGACTCCAGGGGAGTCTGAGAGCGCTCACTGGGGGGACAGACAGACTAGTCTTGGCTGGTGCGGACACTGGCGGTGGCTCCTGTCAAGACAACTTTAGCACAGACAGGAAATCCAGGCCACGCGCTCTCAAACATCACTTGGGGGTGGGGGGGTGGGGCAGAGCTGCTTGCACCTGGGACTCGCCAGCTTCCACACAGAGGCCTCTTTCCATCTATTGCCCATCAGTGGGGGTGACCATTAGGGCGTGGGGGGCCTAGGGAACTATACTCTGCCCGACTCTGCCCGGGTCTCCTCACCCAGAGGCGTGTGTCCCACCTGCCGATGACAAACCCGTGCAGGGAGGGGCTGAGGGGCTGAGGGGTGGGCAGGTAGGGCTTTCCCAACTGCATCAGCAGGAGGGAGAGAAGATCTGGACACATCCCCCCCGCCCCCTTCCCTTCCGGAACAGCTCCCACTTCTAACGTGTCCATCTCAGCTCATCACTGCACACTCATCCCTGGTTGGGAGGAAAATGTAATGATTTCGGTGGGAACCTCTGCAGTCTCGGGACTGGGCTCTGTCAGGCCTCCGTCAGTTACCGCTTGTCAACATGCATCCTGGCTTTCAAGTGTGCGTGGTCTTTTTTTTTTTTTTAAATATATTCTATTGATTCTTCACAGAGAGGAAGGGAGAGGGACAGAGAGCTAGAAACACAGATGAGAGAGAAACATCAATCAGATGCCTCCTGCACACTCCCCACTGGGGATGTGCCCGCAACCGAGGTACATGCCCTTGACCGGAACCAAACCTGGGACCCTTGAGTCCGCAGGCCGAAGCTCTATCCACTGAGGAAACCGGTCAGGGCATATGCGTTGTCTTTTTGCCCTGCTGTTCCTTGTCTCACAGAAAACTCTGACCCAGGCGATAATGCTCAGTCTGATCTTAGTGAGTTTAGGAAACGAACACACACAGCGGCACCACAACTCAGCTGCAGCCGCATTCACTGCACTCAGTGGCTGCTTCTTGCAGGTGCCCTGACCGGAGGTTGAACCTGAAACCTCAGCGTGTTGGGCCGACACTCTAACCGGTGGAGCTCCCCGGCCAGGGCTTCCAATAAGTTCGTCACACAACGTCCAATAAGTGCACCCCAGGCTCAGCCTCAGGACCCAGGCGCAGGCCCATGCACGGGCAGGACGCGGGTCAGCCCATCCTATGAGAAGAAGCAGGGAGGTTTGAAGGGTGAGAAGTACCCAATGCTGCCTGTTGTCCCTGGGAACAGCGATGGGCTCTCTCCAGCCTGCCTTGGACCCTGTCCTCACCTTCACCCCTCAGAGCAAAAGTGGAAGTCCCAGATTCCTCAGGAGCCACAGTGGCCCTTGCACTGCCATTGGCTCAGCCTCTCCTGACTTGGAAAATTCAGCTCAAAGACTTTTAACCCCTCAGGGAGCTCTCTGCCCAGAGTGCAGAGTATCTAGGCTCCAGGGCCAAGTCAATGGGGGGTGGAGAGATGCAGGTGCAGGAGGCATATTTGCATGGAGGCCCCTCCCTCCTCTGAGGCAGGGGGAGGGGATAAGAGAGGTCTGGGGGAGCCAGGCTCAGGCTTGGGGTCTCAGAAGGCAGCGCTCTCAGGGCACCTCCACCATGGCCTGGGCTCTGCTCCTCCTCAGCCTCCTCTCTCAGGGCACAGGTGAGGCCCCAGGGAAGGGACACAGGGACACCTGGGCTGACTCTCTGCCTCCTCCTCAGGCCCCCCGGCCCAGCACTGAGCTCACCAGAGTGTGTTTTTGCTCTTTTCAGGGTCCTGGGCCCAGGCTCCCCTCACTCAGCCTCCCTCAGTGTCTGGGACTCCTGGGTCTTCAGTCACCATCTCCTGTGCTGGAAGTAGCAATGACATTGGGTATTATAATGATGTCTCCTGGTACCAACATCGCCCGGGCACGGCCCCTAAACTCCTGATTTATGGTGTCAGCTATCGGCCCTCGGGGATCCCTGAGCGCTTCTCTGGCTCCAAGTCTGGCAACACGGCCACCCTGATCATCGCTGGGCTCCTGGCCGAGGATGAGGCTGATTATTACTGTTGCTCATATACAACCAGTAGCACTCTCCACAGTGGTGCAGGTTCATGGGGAAGTGAGACCAAAACCTCCTTTGAACTCCCTCAAGTCCTTTCACTCCTCAACTCAGGCTTTCATTTGTTGATCTTTTGCTATTATTTTTTTTAAAAAATAACTGAAAACTCATACACAAATTTAAAGGTAATATACAGAAATACTCTATAATCTTTTCCTTGATTCACCACTTTTTAACATTTTACCATATTTGCTTTTCATTTTATTTCTTACTTTCATCTCTCTCAGCATATATGTTTCTGGTGCATCTATATGAGTATAGGTGTATACACATACACGCATATACATACTCAACACAGACACCATGACATTAATTTTCTGAATCATTTGAGAGTAAGTTGGATCCACCAGCAACTACTTTTAATATCTTTTCAGCCAGAATTCACATTCAAAAACATACATCATTTCAAGGTGTACAATTCAGTGGCTTTTATCCTATTCAC